TTTGTTTAATCATTCGGTTCCCTGGGCACAAAATCCGTCTAATTTTTAATCACAGGAAGCTGAATGAAAAGCAGACATCACCGTGGATGAAATAACAAAGAGAATTGGCAGTAGTTCGCTCAGGGAAACCACATTAGTAGGAACGATGTCACGTAGCCTGTGTATACCTGCCCACTCCCCCCTTGAGAAGAATAGGAGTTTTTCTTGAGAGGATCGGGACTTCGGTAACCCGGGGGGTACTTGACCCATGTTTGGGTATAGGGGTGCCGCCGAGGGTTTAAAATCCTGACCCTGTTTAGGACAAAAATACTCTAAAAACCCTACTCTGTGCAGGACAAAGAAACACAAAGCCGGTACGATCTATTCTATCAGTGCGCGCTAGTTATAATACTGATGAGTGAAAAAAAATTTACCGACAACAATAGCATACTTGTCCAGAAAATGATCTGATGTTGATTGGTGATGACCTTGTAATGGCCGGTTAACGTCTCTCGGCTCGTAATTCCATTGACTGTTAAGGACAGGTTCAGACCCTGTTTAGGACAGAGGCGAGTAAAATTGTATACCCTGTTCAGGACAAAAAGGCCAAAAAACCCAACCCTGTCCAGCGGTACGTCCCCGTATCGCCCAAATAAGGGAGTACCCCCCCGCCTTCCTGGGGTCGGTAAAGACGGACCTCTCGAATATCTCGGACCCGAGATATTCGAGAAATACCCGTGACGTATCAACATATCGCGAGCTGATTTGTAAAGTTTTCAGTAGTGACAGTTTAGTAAAATCCGGGCTAAAGCGTTTTGGCAAAGTTCTATCCAGTGGGTTCAGAGCCACCGGACAGAATTTTTTTAAACCTTGCAAAAAGTTGCATGTTATCCTGCAAATCAAAATTCGATGATAATAATTAAATGGGGGTCACCCAGCTCATTTCTGAGTTATTAGCAGTTAAAACTAAAATTAAGGTGTTTTAAGCAGGTCATAGTGTTGCTATGGCTACGTATTAAGTCATGAAAAACGATGACAACTTGTTCAGCAATAATTGAGCAGTTATCTGATGCCACCTACGGTTGTAGCAGCGACTGATAAAGGGTGATTATAATGACATCTAAGTCTTGGAAAGTGCTGGAAACTGTTGCCAACCACCTGAACTGGGATTGAGTGAACTGCAAGGTATGGAAATTATATACCGCATCATTTAAAGAGTATTTTATTTACATTTACACATTCTACAGTAATTTAGGCTACGCTTTTAAAACTCCTAATTGACTTTTCTTCTCAGGGCGTACATTAAACAAGATATCTGACCTCGTTTTGATGGTCCAAGCTTGCAAATGAGTGTCCATTAGGTGGTTTTTCGCTTCACTACTTTGTACTATTTTCTAAATTGCCATAAATCGGCCGAGAAATCTCACGAGAACCAGGGAAACACACACCTGAAGCAAGGTAGGGTATCTTTATTCATTCTCCTTGGTGTTTTCGTTAAGAAAAAAAAATCGTTTTTCACATACAAATCCTTATAAATCGACTGTTGCGTAACCTGAGAATTTAGGGAGTTTAAGTAACCGCGACGGCGACGCCGTGACAACGTCGATTAAAAAAATGATTTTAAATTTCACCTACGAATCTCGCAGTACCTTAAAGTCATTTACTTTGTTTATCACTTTCAAAACTATCACGAAACTGAATCTGGGACACACTGATAAATTTGAAATAAAGTTTAACAAAATAGCTGTGGTGGCTCACGTTTTCCAGACAACGCAGACGACGTATGTATATACAGGGACCCTCTATGTTGAGGGACGCTCATTTGTGAGCTTGGGCTACCCGTGGTTTTGCTAGTCCCATCCGTTTTGTTGGATATCTGGTCGGATTCATGCGCGCGTCTAATCCGGCCTCAATCTCTGTCGTTTTGTTCCAGCTTACCTAGAAGCGCCATTACCTCTCCCTTGTAGTGAACAAAAGTAGGAATGCATTCAGTATAGTATCCTGAACAATGAAATAGCATTTGGTTAAAACGGTTGGATGCCCCGGATTTCTGAATCGAATCAGAACAGACAAAGGCGTTACTTTGTGAAGCATCTGTTTTAGTTTGAATGGTATAACAAGTGTTCTTGGATAAGGAAATAGGCCTGTTAAAAAAGACGTCAATTTCTCCGTAGGCATTGACAGTACTACGTTTACTCCTTTTTATAGTTTCTCTCTTAACAAAACATTTTTTTTTAATTTGGCTGATCTTCTTGTCTCCTCGAAACACGGATACGCAACTCTCGGAAAAACTTTGCTGGCTGTCAATTAAAATTTTCACTGCGTATAACGCAAGAGTCTTCCTGACCATAAATGATAACACTCCCGTTTTCTGCATAGATTCTTTTTCATGTCGGTCGTAACCAAACAGGCTCTTGTTGAGACAGACGACACTGCCCAGAGAAAGCGAAGAAAGGTCTCCATTTTGTTTCAGCACCGCCCTGGGACGAATCGAGAACTTGAGACCGCCTGGGATAGGGACAGAAGTAAACTGCTTGAAAACATCGATTACTTCTGTTGAAAGCAAAATGTCCGTAGGCAGCACCTCCTCTGAGAACTCTTCAGGCGACATCAATGAAAATCGAATGAGTTTCAACAGATCGTCACCAAATACCGACCTTTTATTTGCTCCATCGACAGTCATATTTGATTCTTCACATCTCTTTGCTGCCCAGCGGTTCAGGGCTTTAAACAGTGATGCCTCCTTAACACGTAGCGACGACCTTTGCAGAAAGGAATGCAAGTGCTCGTGTTCGAGATCCAGAAACGATTCGTTGGCAATGATTTCTTGGGCGTTGTAATCAATTATTTCCCAGCAAACCTTTTCCAGACCTTCATGGTTAAAACGGCGAGCACAAGGGATGACATCAAAGGCGTTTAACGGTTCCATGGCCGCTTCTACAAAATTCACACATTTCCTTGCAAGCGAAGGAAGGTCGTATTTGTTAGCCAAATGCCACACTTGAATAGCGTTGTTAACATCTCGGAAATTGACATCGTCGCAGTACAGGTAACGCAGAAATTGAAGGAAGACGTCTGGATCACAATCAGTAATGTCTACAGTTTCTCCCTGCTCGGCTAGACCTCCATAAAACATGGCAAAGAAGACTGGACTACTGATGGCGAGAACATACTTATGAGCTGGAATGGTCTGCTTGTTAGGGAAAGCAAACTTGAAATCACTCATAAGAGAATTGTTAAACATGTGCTTGTTTCTTTCCAGCAGTGTGTCTTTACTGATTTGCCACTTTTCCTCTGAAGCGCTGGCCATTCCGGCTGACTTTATAAGACTGAAGAACTGATCGAAACTGAATCAGTTAGATCCGTGCGTGCTGAATCTGTTGAACTCACCAGGCGAAAGCGAAAGCGGAAAACAGCGCCCAAATTATACTTAATTTAAATATATGAACAAATACTGTGATGCATCAGTGGACTCACATGGAATAAAAATTTCTAATAAATGTACAATTGTCTTAGTCTGTGATAAGAACGATAACAAAGCGGCCCCTATCCACTTCTGATTTATGAAAGTAATGGATGGATTTTGGGGGGCCGAAAAGTTTCCATATGGATTTCTGTCAAGGAGAGACATTCCGTTGGTATAACGTTTCTATCGTAGCTCAAAATATAAATTCTCCCGACTGAAGGTGTTATTTATTTTCATTTTCATTACGAGAGTTAAGTGGTGCATTAGAAAGAAACATCCCCGACAGCCGAGGGAGTGCCAAAAAATTTAAACCTATTTATGAAAAGTGCATTTGTGTTCGAGAGGGAAGATGATCAACTTCTCTTGAAACCAGTGATACATATAACAACGTATTTCTTGCATTAGGCGACAACTGACAGAGATCCACTAGTAGCGAATTAGTTTGCACTGACTCAGTGAAACGAAGACTTTTCTTCAAGTTCAATTATTTTCTTGTTGTAACAGTATGTAAGAATAAGAATCTCCTCCGATTTCTGTTTGTATGGTATTCACCACCGTTTCTCAGTTTTGCGATGATTTGAAAATAATACCTGTAGTTCGATCCTTGCGCAAACAAGCCCTCGACACTCTTCCCTCCCCATCCCTCTTCGGTCCGCCTCCCCTGTAGAAACAACCTATTTTATTGATCGATCGTATAGTTTTTAAACTCGTGGATACGCGAAGCGTAGAAACGTGTTTGTTGCGGGGACTCCGATATGCAAATGTGTCACTCACTCACTCACTCAAGCACTGAGGTGTAGACACTGCTCGTAATTAGTCGGCCCGAACGAGAGCGCCCGAGTCCGACGCCATGTTGGAATAGTAACCGCTCCCGACGCCATATTGGAATAGTAACCGAGCCCGACGCCATATTGGAATTGTAACCGCGCCGTCAGTGCGAGCCTACCTACTCAATGAGTGCATCGTGCCAGCCCAATATTGACGATTTTGTAGCTTTTACACGACCATTAATATTAGGTGTTTCGCTAAATTGAAGTGGAGTTGACTTCGAATGTTCGAATTAGTACTATGGCCAACTTGA